CAGAGAACCAAAAATAGCAAATAACAACCGACCATTAATACACAAGATGACATAACCCAGAAACCACAGCTATGAACATATCCAAAGTGAAATGAGCTTACAAGAGTGTAAACAGGCAACCAGAGACATCACTTGGCAAGTGAGGACAACTACAAACAAAAAGAGGGAAAAGACTGTGTAGTTACAAAACTAGGATTGGATAAGAAAACAAAACCCATCAAAATGCTGCCTACAAGAGACACACCTTACAGATAAAGACAAAAATAGACTAAAAATCAATGGTTGGAAAAAGATATATCGAGCAAATAGCAACTGTAAGAGAGCAGGAGTGGCAATATGGGGATTCCTTCAAAAGTTGGACTTAGAAATATCATTTGATCCAGCCATTCCATTACTAGGTATATACTCTAAAGAAGTGAGAACCATGACAAGAACAGATATATGCACACCCATGTTCATCGCAGCAGTATTTACAATAGCCAAAAGATGGAAACAACCTAGGTATCCATCAAGTGAGGAATGGATAAACAAACTATGGTACATACCACAATGGAATACTATGCAACACTAAAGAATAATGTAGAATCTGCAAAACACCGCATAATGTGGATGAACTTGGAGGACATTATGCTGAGTGAAATAAGTCAATTACAAAAGGACAAATATTGTATTAGTCCATTATTGTAAAAGCTAAGGAAAGATTTATTTATAGAAGGAAATTTTCTTTGTTGGTTACCATGGGTGGGAGGAGATGGGAAGGAATGCTGTTAGATAGAGAGAGATAAGTATTGATTTGGGTGAAGAGAAGGGCAATATATCAAATGTGAGTGACCAGTATGGCACCATTGAGGAAGAGAAAGACATAGATAGGTAAATGGGAGGTACAGACAACAAGGATGAACCCTTTTGCACATAACAGTACTGTGTTGACAGTGAAGGCAAACATGGGTATATGGGTGGATAGATGGGTAGGCAGGCTGCACTGTTAGCTATGTGTATGAAATAGGGAGTGTATCCATTGGAAGACAATGGTCCTATCAGTTTATATGAATGATCAGAATTCCCAGGTGTATAGTAGAGGTGACAAGGGGCAAGGTTGTGGACACTGCTTGGTCAGAGGCAGCTACCCAGAGGTACCAAGAGTAGTTGAACCTGTGGGCTTGGGACCATAGTGGCAGGGGACATCAAGCTCAATCAGCATAACATACTATATAAAACATTTTTCCACTTCCTACTTTGGCGAGTAGCGACTGGGATCTTAAAAGCTAGCAAGCTGCCATCTAGATGCAACGATGGGTCT